CCTTCATCAGAAAGGGTCTAGGCCCGAAACGTCAGCCTTTTTGCTCCTATGATGCTGCTTGGCCTGCTGTGTTCATCCAGCTCTGCACCTTGTTGTCTCGGATTCTCCAGCATCTGCAGTTCCTACTATCTCACATTTTTTGTTTCTGTTAAAGAAAACATTCTTTCTCACCTCCAATTAGTCGTGTTCATCTTTAACAGAAGGTTGAGAGTCTGAATACTATACCATTACCTGATCACATAATGATAGTCTAACACTCCAGTCCAATTCTGGTCACTACACTTTAGGAAAGATGTGAGGGTCTGTGAGATAATGCAGAAGAATGTTACCAGAACACTTCCAGGGAGTGGGGGGGTTAGGTTGGAGAATCCAGAGTTATTTTCCTTGGTGCGAGGGAGATTAAATTTAAGGGGTTTGGATAAGATAGACAAGGAAATCAAGTACCCATTAACTGATGGTACAAAAGCTACTTGTACAATTTTGGTTAACAAATGCAAAGGGAACTTTTACACAGTGTGGTATGATCTGGTCCACAATTAACAATAAACATTTTCAAATAGAAATTTAATGCACATTTGGAGGAAAGAAGCCAACATGGCACTGGGAACTGAGTAGGGGAGTGGGACTGAATGGATTGTTTTTGTGGAATACCTCAATGGGCTGAATTTTCTTTTATTCATTTGTGGGAGGTGGGCGTTGCTGACTGGGCCAGCATTCCTTGCTGCTCTTGAGAAGGTGGTGGTGGTGGTGAGCTGCCTCTTGAACCGCTGCAGTCCATATGCTGTAGGTTGACCCACAATGCTCTTAGTGAGGGAATGCCAGGATTTTGACCCAGCAACGTGAAGGAACAGCGACATATTTCCAAGTCCGGATGGTGAGTGGTTTGGAAGGAAACTGGAAGATGGTGGTGTCCCTGTGTATCTGCCACCCTTGTCCTTCTAGATGGAAGCGGTCGTGTGTTTGGAAGGTGCTGTCTGGGGATCTTTGGTGAATTTCTGCAGTGCATCTTGTAGACAGTACACACTGCTGCTACTGAGCATCAGTGGAGGACAGAATGGATTTTGCGGATGTTTCGCCAATCAAGCCACAAACGTCCAGTCCCTGCACTTTTAACGCTCAGTAACAGCAGTATGTACTATCTACAAGATACACACTGCTGCTACTGCTGAGTGGCTCATGATCTCACTTTGTGCGGTAAATGACTCCATGATTATACTGGGTCAACTGCATCTCTTTGGGTAGTACTCTGACCTGAGTCAGTGATTCAGGTCTGACTTCAGACACTAACGCAGTTCTCAGGCTGAGTTATACTAACAGAGCTGCTGTGTATTTCAGTTCAAGTGTTACATGAAACTTCATCTAGTCCTCTCAAGAATGTAGAAATTTCAATTGCGCTAGTTCAAAGAAGACGAGGAACGATATCCTGCAAAGTGCTGACCAATATTTATGCATCAATCAACACTTCATGACCATTTTAATCGATGTTATTGTTTAAGTGCTGTTTGTGGGAGTTAATTGGCCACCAGGTTTCCAACCGTGGCTTTGTTACAAAACCACATCATTGGTTGGACAGCATTTTGAGATGCCCTGACTTCACTAAGGGCAAGTCTTGCCACACAGAGTCAGTGTCGTCATGGTAGTACTAGTGAACTGCAAATCTAGAACCCCAGGCTAATGTTCTGGAGATATGAGATCAGATCTCCCCAGGGCCTGTGATTTAAAAATTTCAATTCTGTAAAATCTGGAATGAAAAGCTGGCCTCATTGTGAACACACAACCATTTGCTGATTTCCTTCCCTAATGCAATGTACCTTAACTGATCTGGCCCACATTCGACTCGATTCTCAGCAACATGGTCGACTCTTAATTGTGCTTTGATGTGGCCTACAAGTCAATGAGCAATGTGGAACAAATGCTCATATTGCCAGGGATACCTAACATAAACATTTTTTTTTAAAAAGAAGCAGGGAGTTCTCTGGTGTTCTGGCCAAAATTCCTCCTTCAATCATCACAGAACATCCTAAAAAACCTGAATTATTTGACCGTTACAAGGTGGTCGCAGCCTAAAGAGAGGTTTTGAGGAGGACTTGAACTCACCTGGAAACTTTCCTGGGGCTCACTGTGTTTGATGCATGAACCAATCGATACTGGGGAATGTCCGGAGGTAGACTCGCAGTGATGGTGGAAGTCCGATTGCCAAGTTTTGGCTGCAGGGAGGAGACCGCTACCTTCGCTGTCCTCTCATTACCGTCACTGCATTCTTCCTGAGGGAGGTTCACACTCATAACAGATGTCCCCGAGGAGGTAGATGCTCCTGACTTTCTCAGACCTCTCTTATTTGAATGGAGGTTCTTGGGCACATGCTGCTTCTTTTTCCTGGAATTAGCTTGATGACTGTGCTCTCCTCTAGCCCTGGGATTATTGGAGAGCGATCCGAGGGAATGGCAGTGCTGCATTGAGCGTGGTGTTGGAGGTGAAATGGATTTCTTTGGCTGTAACAAAATGAAGTTTGAACAAGTGTAAATTGGCAGCTGAGCTTCATACACCAACATTGACTAGACTTGCATGGCACCTTGCTGGTTATTAACTGCTTTGAGACGTCTTGTAGCCATGAAAAGTGCTGCATTGTAAGGGGCCTTTGGCTTGCTTTGTGGTTCTTCTTCCAGACCCTCCCATTCTGTTTTTTTTTGGGGGAGGCGGGTAGTGTCACAAGACTTTATAATCTGTAGACTCGCGCCAGAGCATACCTCCCTAAGTCTCTTCCCATTCATGGCTTTTCATAGAATCCCTACAATGTAGATAGAGGCCATTCAGCCTATCGAGTCTGTGCTGATCCTCCAAGAATATTCCCACCCATCCCTGTAACCCCACATTTCCCATATCTGATCTCCCTAGCCTGCAGATCCCTGGACATTATGGGCGATTTAGCATGGCTAATCCACCCGAACTTGCACATCTTTGGACTGTGGGAGGAAACCGGAACACGTGGACAGGGGGAGAACACGTGGCTAGATTTACCCAGATAGCAGGGCTAACCACAGAGTCACGGTGCCACACAGAACAGCCCCCTGTGAATGGCTGTAGTAAACATATATTATGTATACACACAGACGGATATATACATCACACACGTGTTAATTAGCTAACTCTGTTCTCATTTCTTCCCATCTTACCTTTTTACTTATGACATAAAATATCTCATGGACTGGAACAAAAATGGCAAAGTTCTCATAACACTGGAAATACCGCTTCCCTCTGAAAGTACCATCATGTCGTCCACCTGTAATCCAAACACATCGTATTACCTTTTGTTTAAGGTCCTCTGCTAGGAATTTCTCTCCGATTCCCTGCTCGATTCCAACTGCTGGCTAACAAATGATTTGTCCTGACTTCAGTCAACGGCCAAACTACGATCTGGCTTAATCCAGAACCTGCACCTCTCCCCGCCCACCCCGATAGTCTGAGCCTCTTGGTACCCTGTCATGGCCCATGTCAACAATGAGCCAGCGACCTTGGCCAGATCTTTATGCCTCCACTGACGTTGGTTCAGAGGCAGGGGTGGGAATACTTTGGGGTTTTCTTGCACCATTACTGTCACATGGGATTTGAATTGCCCCTGGATAAAGGTGTGACTGGTACACACGCACTCTGTGTTCTTACCATTCCTGGCTCCACTGTGCGGATAAACCCCCTCCTCCAATCATTTCTTGGCACAGTTTGCTAGGAAATATGCTTTACAGCAACTCTGAGCGCTCAAACCCTGGCAGCAGCTGGTTGTCGCATCAGGAACCTTTTGACACTGATATTTAAAATTTCTTACCAACTTCAACTGTTATCATTACATGATAAATTTTATATATTTTTAATGTCATTAATAGGCTCTGTCCTTTCAAAAAAAAAATTCAATTAAATTGACCAGCATCATGCAGGTTTTCACTTTTAGTCGAGGACTTCATAAGACATAAGAGCTGAAGTAGTCCATTCAGCCCATCAGGTCTGCTCTGCCATTCAATGAGATCATGCCTCATTCTGATAATCCTCAACTCCACGTTCCTGCCTTTTCCCCATGACCCCTGATTCCCCTAAAAATTAAAAATCTAACTCGGCCTTCAATATACATAATATCTCAGCCTTGACAAGGTTTCTGCAGTAAAGAATGCTGTGGATTCACTACTTTCTGAAAAGAAATTCTTCCTCATTTCTGTCTTAAATTAGCAAGTTCTTCTTCTGAGGTTATGCCTTCCAGTACAAGACCCACCCACAAGGGGAAACAACCTCTCCATGTCTACCCTGTCAAATCCTCTGAGACTTTTGTATGTTTCAAAAAGGTCACATCTCATTGTTCTAAACTCCAATGAGTACAGGCCTGACCTACTCGACCTCTCCCCATAACACCGAGTCCCTCCAAACCGGCTTTCAGCCAAGTGGATCTTCTCTACTTTGCCTCAAACATCTTTTGGAAATCTAAATATATTACATGCATTGCTTCTTCTGTATCTATCTAGCTTGTTAGTTTCTTCAAGAATTCTAATCAGCTTGTCAGGTATGATTTCCCCTTCATGAAACTATGCTGACTCTGCTTGATTTTAATTATATAACTTTATAATAGACTCTAACATTTTCACAATAACATGTCAAGACAAAACACCTGTTTTTGTCCTTTTAAATAAAGTTGCTATATTGGCATATTTTCAATCCTCAGCAACTTTTCCAGAATCTAAAGATTTTAGGAAGATTACTACCAGTGCATCTGTTTTATGTAGTCAGTGCCTTGAAATTTCCTAGGATGCAACTTATCCACTACAGGAGTCTTATCACCTTTACCCCAATTTGTTTCCCTAGTACTTTTTCTCGCGTGATAATTATTGCATTTAATTCCTCTCCCACTCTTGCCCCTTGATTTAATATTTTAGAAACTGTTTTATTTGTGCCTACCACCATGAAGACTAATGCAAAATATTTATTCCATTTCTATGCCATTTTCTAGTTCCTCATTTTTACTTTCCCAGCCTCATAGGGCCTATGTTATCATCCTTTGTATATAAATAAGAAGCTCTTGATATGGCTTGCTAATTTATCCTCACGGTTTATTTTCTCCCCCAATATTATTTTTGAGTCTTTATCACTTTGTGTATGTTTTTTGTTTTCTTTCAATTTCATGTTGTTCTTAACTTCCTCGCTTAACCATGTTTTTATTATCCCCTTCCTAGAATTCATCTTTACTGGGATAAATTGTTGCAGGTCATAAAGTATTAAACGTCTGCCATTGCTTTTTGGCCATCTTTTCTGCTAAACTCCTTTCCCAGTTCACTCTAGCCAACTCTGCCCTCATTCCTTAGTAATTGCCCTTATTTAAAGTTTTACACAATTGTTTCCAACCCAAGTTTCTCACCCTCAAACTGAATACTAAATGCCAGCATGTAATGGTCACTGTTCCTTTAGCAGTTCCGTTATTCCACAATAATTTATTAAACCTGCTTCATTGCACATTACCAGATCCAAAAGGCCTGATCCCTGCTTAGATCCACAACATATTGTTCTGGAAACAGTGCCATCTTCTTCCCTTGTTATTTCTTACCTCCACCCATATGGATTCTAAATTTTACAATCTAAGATTATTTATTGCCGTTATTTTTATTCCATCTCATACTAGCAAATCTACCCCACATCTTAAGAGGATAGGGCAGATAAATCAATAATGAAAAGATGGTGCAGTGGGCAAGGATTCAGATTTTTAGATCACCGGGATCTCTTCTGGGGCAGAAAAGACCTGTTCAAAAGGGATGGCTTCACCCGAAATGGAAGGGGACGAATATCCTGAGATTTGCTAGTGCTATTCGGGTACATTTAAACTAGTAGTGGCATTGGGATTCCAAATAGTAGTGAGAATAGAAAGACAGATGAGGATGGTTCTGAATTAAATAACAGCAAGTGAATTAGAAAAGACAGACAACAGAAAGTCAGAATGAGGTAACTCTGATTAATTGAACTGCATTTATTTCATTATGGGTAAGGCAGATGAATTCACGGCCCATATGGAAACATGGGATTAGGACATCATAGCTATTACAGAATCATGGCAGAAATAAGAAGAGGATGATCACCTTGATGGGATTGTACTGTAGGCACCCCAACAGTCAAAGAGAAATTGAGGAGCAAAATATGTAGAGAGATCTCAGACATACGTAAGAATAATAGGGTTGTAATAGTAGGGGATTTTAATTTTCCAAACATAGGCTGGGACTGCCATAATGTGAAGGGCTTGGACAGAGAGGAATCTGTTAACTGTGTTCAAAAAAATTTTCTTTATCAATATGTGGATGTACCAAACAAAACTTGACCTTCTCTTGGGAAATAAGGCAGGACAGGTAACTGAGGTGTCAGTGGGGGAGCACTTTGAGACCAGTGATCATAATTCTATTAGTTTTAACATAGTTATGGAAAAGGATACGCCTTGTAAAAAAGTTGAAGTTAATGTTCTTAATTTGGAGTAAGGCAAATTTTAGACAGGAACTTTCATAGGTGATTGGAGTAGACTGCTCACAGGTAAAGGAATGACTAGCAAGTTGGAGGCTTTCAAAAGTGAGAAATCGTGTCTTAAACTCGGTTGAGTTTTTTTGAGGACATAACCAAAGCAGGCAGAGAGCAGATATGGACTTTAGTAAAGCCTTTGATAAGGTTCCACATGGTAGCCCAATTTGTGAATTTTGATCACATGGGATTCAGGGTGAGCTTGATGATAGGAGACAGAGGCTGGTGGTGGATGGTTATTTTTCGGACTAGAGGCTTGTGACCAGCAGTGTTCCGCTAGGACTGGCACTGGGTCCACAGTTTGTCATTTATATAAACAATTTGGATGAAAATTCGGGGGCATGGTTAGTAAGTTTACAGATGACGCTAAAATTGGTGATATAACCAACAGTGAAGAAGGTTATCTATGATTACAAAGGGATCTAGATCAATTGGGCCAATGGGGGCTCAGGAGTGGCAGATGACATTCAGTTTCAATAAATGCGAGGTGTTGCATTTTGTAGAACAAACGAGGGCAGTACTTGTACAGTTAATGGTAGGGCCCTGGGTAGTGTTGCCGAACAGAAAGACCTAGGGGTTCAGGTACATAGTTCTTTGAAAATTACATCAGAGGTAGACAAGGTGGTTAAGAAGGCGTTTAGCATGCTTGCCTTCATTGCTCAGACCACTGAGTACAGGAATTGGGACAGGATGTTGAGGTTGTACAGGATGTTGGTGAGGCTTCTTCTGGAGTACTGTGTGCAGATCTAGTCGCCTGTATATTACTAAATTGGTGAGGGTCCAGAAAAGATTTACCAGGATGTTGCCAGGAATGGAAGGTTTGAGTTATAAGGATAGTCTGGGACTATTTTCACTGTAGCGTAGGAGGTTGGGGGCTGACCTTATAGAGGTTAATAAAATCATGAGGAGCGTAGGTAGGTGAATGGCAAAGGTCTGTTTTCCAGGGTAGGGGGGTTCAAAATTAGGGGGACATATTTCTAAGGTGAGAGGGGAAAGATTTAAAAGGGACTTAAGGGCAACTTTTTCACACAGAGGGTGGTTCATGTGTGGAATAAACCGTCAGAGGAAGTGGTAGATGCAGGTACAGTTACAACATTTAAAAGATATTTGGATAGGTACATGAATAGGAAAGGTTTAGAGGGATATGGGCCCACACAGTAAAGTGGGACTAATTTAGTTTGGGAAACTTTGTCAGCATGGATGGGTTGGACTGAAGGGTCTGTTTCCATACTGTATGACTCTATAATTTTACCTTTTACCACGTTCCACCTTAAATTTCAGCTTTTCTATTCACTACACATAAGTGAAGTCCTTCATCCATGAGTAACCATTGGTTTAATTTTGACTTTTCTCCACCAGTAGGGCTTTGGCTTGTCTCCAATTGGTATCTGCCTCCAATGGTATGGTTTGAAGTTGGGAGCTCAGTCAAAGGAATAGTCTGGTGGGAGATGAGGAGCATTTTATAGACACAGCAAGTTATGATCTGGAATGGACTACCCAAAAGGATGGATAAATGGGCTATGTTAGTGGGTGAAAGGAGATGGAGCAATAAAGATGACTTGGTGAGTTCTTAATCTCATATGCAGTAGGAGGATGTAGTGTGGAAGCCAAGCACACCTCATTAGATTTTGCATCTCCTTAAGCAACATTCTTTGTGTGGTCAGTTCACATGGTGCTCACAGTAACCTTACTGTACGTTGTTCTCTAAGGTCTTGTATGCTATAGTGTCAAGAGGCCCAAACAGAAGAATGCAGAAATAAGAAAAAGATCTTTGAATCTAAACAAAATAGATCACAAGAAATAATAATGTGAATAGGACAAAGCATCAGTTAAAGAACAGATTGAAGATTACATTGCAAACACAGAAACTCAATAGGTCTGGCAGCATTTGTGGAGAAATAGAGTTAATGCTTCAAGTTCCCCATTCCAATTCTGAAGAAGTTATAGCAGGCTCAACTCTGTTTCTCTCTCCACAAATGCTGCCAGACCTGCTGAGCTTCCCCAGCATTCTCGGTGTCTGTATCAGATTTCCAGTATCCACAGGATTTTGCTTCTGTTGAAGATTACATTTGTTCATTTAGAGAAGGACCCATACATACTTGGTTCGTCGAGCTCAACTCCTACAAAAACAGCATTGGCCATTCCTGAAGCGTCCAAGTGGCCAACATAACGAGCAGTGCCTGACTTGTTGCCATTTACAATCACGTAGTCGTTTATGTTAATGGGAAGTTTCTGCCTGCAGGATCAGAAGGAAAGGTTATCACACTGACCGTTCCACTCAGCCTAACAGCTGTCTACACTATCCAGGAGCAGATCAGATCCTTTTCTTTATCTACTCCACATTTCTTTCCTGAATTCAGAAACTGATTGAACCTGGCTCTCGAGCGCTCTGGGACAGTTGCAATGGGCTGACTAAGCCAGTAGTCCCTGCGCAATCACAATTATTGTGTTCTCTGGTCTGCCCAACTGAGTTTCAAACCTCTTCAATGAAACACTTTACATTTGACGTTTTAAGTTCAAGGTTCTATACACACATTGCCTCAGAGTAGAAAAACGAGGTAGAGAGGTGTAGGGAGTGTATTCCAGAGCTTGGGACCTAGGCAGCTGCTGGTACTGCCATCGTTGGGAAATTGCAACAGGTCTGAATTGTAGGAGCACCCCAATGTCTCAGAAGGTTGGAGTCTACAGATTTCACAGACTTGAAAACAAGGACGACAGTTTTAAAATCAAAGCATTATGTATGTGGGAACTAATGCAGGCCAATGATTAGGTGTCATATCCCTCTCTGGAAACAGGCTATTCGGTCCATCAAGTCTGCACCAAACCACCAAAGACCATCTCATCCAAACCCATGTCCACCATCCTATAATAGTACTTCCCATGGCTAATCCACATAACCTGCACATCCCTGGGCACTATGGGCAATTTAGCAGGGCCAATCCACCTAACCTGCACATCTTTGGACTGTGGGAGGAAACCAGAGCACCCAGAGGAAACCCATGCAGACTTGGGAGAAAATGTGCAAACTCCACAGTTACCCAAGGCTGGAAATGAACCTGGATCCCTGGCCCTGTGAGGCAGCAGTGCTAACCACTGAGCCATCATGCCACCCTTCTTTTATAAGATATTTCTTTTAGTCCCAGGTAAGACAAAAGGGGGGGCTGAATGGCCTCATTCGGTCATAAACATTCTTATGTCTGCATTAGCACTGAAGTCCTTACCTACTTTGGAAGTGATTTGTTTGGTATTGCTTACCAGTTGTTGCCCAACATGTCTTCCAAAAAATAAGGTGGGGGTGTTTGCGTGGTTTTAGTGGTAAGCCATTGGTCCTTTAAGCCTGATCTTCCACTGATAAGCTCACAGCTGATCTGATTGTGGCCTCAACTCCACTTTCCTGTCCATCCCTTGTACCTTTTCAGATTGACTCCCTTCTTGGTAAGGAATCTAGGTCAGCCCTAAAAATATTCAATGGCCCTAGCTCCATTGCTTTCTAGGGAAGGAAATTCCACACACCTTGATCCTCGGAGAAATAATTCTCGTCCACCCTAAATGGGAGACACCCTGAATTTTAGACTATGTCCTCCTAGTCCTGAACTCCCCCACAAGGGGTAACATTCCTTTAATATCCATTCTGTCAAATCCCCTCAGGGTCTTGCGTTTCAGTAAGTCACCGCTCATTCTTCTAAACTTCAACAGATAACACGGCCAATCTGTCCAACCTTTTCTCCATAAGATAATCCTTTCATCATGGGAGGAGTGGCGTGAACCTTTTCTGAAATGCTTCTCGTGCTGTTACCTTTTCTCAAGTAAGGAGACAAAAAGTGTACACAGTACTCCAGAAGTGGTCATCCAAAATATACTGCCCATAACTTAATCCTCACAAGACCTTGTTCACCAATGACACCTGATCATTAGCCTATTTTACCTCCCATATACATAACATTTTAAAACTCTTGTCCTTGTTTTCAAATCTCTCCTTGGTCTCAACACTTATCTCTGAAATCTCTAGCCCCACAACCCTCTGAGACATTGTACTCCTACATTCAGACTTCTTATAATTGTCCAGCAGCTCCCCAGGCCTCCAGCTCTGGAATACACTTCCTACTCCTCTCTACTCTCTACTCTACTGAGGCATTTTATTAAAGATGTAATTGTACAGCAATTTGGTCTTAATATTGATGCCAGTGCCAGTAAGGTCTAGAAGTTTAGTCGTTTGGCAGTACAGAACTTGAGTATTGGTGAAATGGTGTTTTGTCGGGGCTATTCATTTTGCTCAGTGACACCCAGTTTGGGGTCTGCCAGGGCCACTCAGCTCTTAATCTCATTACGTTATTCATCCTTTATTCATTCACAGATGAGGGTGTCGCTGGCTAGGCAGCATTTATTCCCCGTCCTTAATTGCCCAGAGGGCAACAACATTGCTGTGGGTTCTGGAGTCACATGTAGGCCCAGACCAGGTAAGGATGGCAGTTTCCTTCCCTAAAGGACATTAACAAACCAGATGGGATTTTGCTGACAATTGACAATGGATTCGTGGTCATCGTTACATTCTTAATTCCAGACATTGACTGAATTCAAATTCCACCATCTGCCATGGTGGGATTCAAACCCGGGTCCCCAGAACGTTATCTGGGTCTCTGGATTAACAGTCCAGTGATAATACCACTGGGCCACTGCCTCCCCTTACAGCCTTGGTTCTAACACAGACAAAAGAGCTGAATTCCAGAGGTGAGGTGAAAGTGACAGCCTAGATATCAAGGCTGCATTCGACCGAGTGCAGCATCAAGGAGCCCTAGCAAAACTGGAATCAATGGTTATCAGGGGGCAAACTCTCTGGAAGATGGTCATGGCTATTCGAGGTCAGTCATCTCAGCTCCAGGACATCTCTGCAGGAGCTCCTCAGGGTACCGACCTAGGCCCAACCATCTTTAGCTGATTCATCAATAACCTTCCATCCATCATAAGGTCAGATGGGGATGTTTGCCGATGATCGCACAATACTCAGCACCATGTGCAACTCCTCAGATACTGAAGCAGTCCATGTTCAAATGCAACAAGATCTGGACATATTCAGGCTTGGGTCGATACATGGCAAGTAACATTGCGCCACAACTGTGCCAGGCAATGACCATCTCCAACAAAAGAGAATTCAGCCATGACCCCATGATCTCCATGACATTACAGTCACTGAATCTCCCACTATCAACATCCAGAGGGTTACCTTTGGCAAGAAACTGAACTGGACCAGCCGTGTAAATACTGTGGCAGGTTAGAGGCTGGAAGATCTGAGGTGAGTAACTCCAGACCCTGTCCACCATCTACAAGGCACAAGTCAGGAGTGTGATGGAATACTCCCCACTTGCCTGGATGAGTGCAGCACCAATGACACTCAAGAAGCTTGATAACATCCAGGACAAAGCAGCCCCCTTGATTGGTATTACATCCACAAGCATCCACTCCCTCCACCACCGACGCTCAGTAGCAGCAGTGTGTACTATCTACATGATGCACTGCAGAAATTCACCAAAGATCTTCAGACAGCACCTTCCAAACCCACGACCACTTCCAACTAGAAGGACAAGGGCAGCAGATACATGTGAACACTACCACCACAAGTTCCCCTCCAAGCCATTCACCATCCTAACTTAAAAGTATATCGTTATTCGTTCACTGTCTCTGGGTCAAAACCCTGGAATTCCCTCCCTTACAGCAGTGTGAGTCAACCCACAGCAGGAAGACTGCAGCAGGTCAAGAAGGCAGCTCACCACCACCTTCTCAAGGGCAAGTAGAAATGGGCAAGAAATGCTGGCCCAGCCAGCAACGCCCACATCCCACAAAATGAGTTGAAAAAAATTTGTCAAGACAATTTGCAAGAATACCACTTCAAGGGGTAAGCCAATATTTATGGTGCATGAGAGGAGAGTGCTGATTGGTTGCCTTGTGGTAGAGGTGTAGCCACGCACTGATGTTTTAAAAATCTGCTGTTATTGGTTAGGCCAGTATTTATTGCCCACAGGACAGATAAGAGTCAACCACATGACTAGGGGCCTGGGATCAAAATGTAAGCCAGATCAGGTACGGATGGCAGAGTTGCTTCCCTGAAAGACGTTGAGCTCACAGTTGTCAGTGGTTACAATGATGATCATTATGATTGCTCTTTATTCCAGATTTTTATTGAATTTAAGTGTCACCGTCTGCCATGGTGTGAGTTGAGCATCAACTTGGGCATCAACTAGAGGTGCAGAATTTTGCTGACAGAAGAAGATGTATGTGTACATGTCAACTCAACTGTCGAATCAAGGAGCCCCAGTAAAACTACAGTTCACAGGAAACAGGGAGCGGTTTGTTTGGGGGAGAAACTCTCCGCTGGTTGGAGTCACACCTGGCACATTGGAAGATGGTTATTGTTGTTGGAGGTCAGTCATCTCAGCTCAGGACATCTCTGCAGGAGTTCCTCAGGGGAGTGCCTTAGGCTCAAACTGCTGCATTAATGACCTTCTTTCCAACATAAGGTCAGAAGTAAGATGTGCAATCATCAACACAATTTGCAATTCCTCAGATACTGAAGCAGTTCATCCCAAATGCAGCAAGACCTGCATTGCGTCCAAGGTTAGGCTGACAAGTGGCAAGTAAGATTGCCCTACACAAGTACAAGGCAATGACAAACTCCAATAAGAAAGAATCTAATCATTACCCTTGATGTTGAATGGCAATGACCAGAAACTAAGCTGGGTTCAAAATATAAACATAGTAGTTCAGAGGGCAGGAATCCTACTGGAAACTCACCTCCTGACTCCTGACTCACCTCCCCAATAATCTACTAGGCACAAGTCAAGAGTGTGATGGAATACTCCCCACTTGCCTGGATGAGCGCCATTCTAAAAACACTCGAGAAGCTTGACCCCATTTGGGGCAAAGCAGCCTGTTTGACTCAAAGATTCACTAAATTCATTACCAATCAGTAGCAGCAATGGGTACCATTTACAAAATGCACTGCAGGAATTTACCAACAGTTCTTAGCACCTAGGGAAGGGCAATTAGTGCTGGCCAGACAGCGACACCCACATCTCCAGAATTAATTTTAAAATCTCAACCAATAGGTGACCATTGTTCTTCTGTTCTGAGTAAGGTGCACTGGACCCAAAACGTTAACTCTGATTTTTTTCTTCACAGGTGCTGCCAGACCTGAGCTTTTCCAGCAACTTCTGTTTTTGTTCCTGATTTACAGCACCCATAGTTCTTTCGACTTTTAACTAGATCAACCTGCCTGGATTAAAATGTAAACAAAGCCAGCAACTTAACTCTCAATCATCACTGATTATTTATGGCCATGTTCCCACCTGAGTCCGGATGTCAATCAATCAGCACTCTCCTGTCATACAGTACAAATGTTTGTCTTTCCCCTTGTATCACTATTCTTGCAAATTATCCCGATGAGTACAAGACAAAAAGCTTTGGCAAAATGTACTTTCTGCAATATTCAAATTGAGAAATTTGTTGACAACCCCCCACGTTTAGAAGCATGCGAAAAGCTCTGAAATATCGGATGCATTACAATGAATGGATAAGAAAATCAGCTGGACTAGAAAGTAGGCACATGATAACATTGGGTATGTTTTGCCTACAGACAGCCTATATTACTCAGCAAACCCGACCCCTCAAAGGTCACGATTAATATTTCTATACTCTGTCAAAAGAATGGCATTTTCCTTAACTTGCAGGAGAGCATTCCCCTTTGAACCAAGAGCCCCATATGGCACTGTGGTTGTAGGCCGAAAGGACTAGATTTGTCATACCTACCCCAGAGCTGTGTCATTACACACAGTGCAAGACCCTGAACAAGGAGCTGAGAGAGGGAGATGTTGCATTGAATGGACAGCACAGAAACAGGCATTTGACCCAAACATTCTTCACATCATTAAATCTTGGGCAGTGGGTAGTACTTGTAGGCAATGTCCTGAACTGCAATAAACCAAGTCTTGTATCCCTTGGGATGACTGCTTCTACCAGGATATCACACAAGGATCTGACTGAGTGATTGATGTGTTCCACAAGCAACCAGTCAAAAGGAGTTGGGTTATGATTTTTTTTCAGTTATTGTGTTCAGTACCATCCTATAACAACACAACCATTGCACAGACCCATATCCATCCAGTGGATGGCGAAGCACATTGTTTCTGTCCCACAATTAACCCACAACAAGAGGGTGCAATGAAAACTCACCTCTGCAAGTACAGCAACGTTTTGATTTTGTCTTTCTCATGGCCATTGCGACCATTCGTCAGTTTGTAATTGCTAAAGAAGGAGCTGCAGCTGGAGCACTGGCAGCCGACCAGAGGAAAAGGGAAGATGGAGCAACTTAGAGTGGCATCGACCAGAAAATCAGGGCTAAGGCAGAAGAGAAGACAACCACACTTAGCAATGATGAAGTAAAATCATATATTACCAGAAATCAGATCAGAGGAATTCGCAACCCTACTCACGCTGAAACATCATGGCCAACAAAACCATGTCTACATCTTTTCAGTCACCACTTTTCTCATTTACATCTCAATTGTCTTGCAAATCTGTGCTTCACCTTCTCCATTGGCGACTATAGTTTCCTCCTTTCATAGTCTTTCATCTCTCCTCCATAGCCATCCATCCTCCCCTCCCTTCTCTTCCCTCTACATCGTCATCCATCCACCATCCATTAGGTGTCAGTGATGGCATAGTGGATAACATTATTGCTGCAGAATTAGGAAGCTCTAAGTTAGAGTCCCACTCCAAAGACCTGAGCACAATACCTTGGGGCTGACATCTAGCACAGTTCTGGAAGAGCATTATGTCATGGAAGGTACTGTTTTTTGATTGCAGACATTAAGTTAAGGACGTGTTCTCTCTCTGTCGCTCAGGTGGGTATAAATATCCCAGGGCACAACCCATAAAAAAAATCAGGGAAGTTCTCCCTGCATATTATTATGGATAAAGAAGGTGAAATCTGTTTAGAAGTGCAGGACAAGGCTAAAATGCTTAATGAATACGTTGTATCAGTGTTTAGTATGGAGAAGGAATCTAACAAGATAGCTGTAGAAGTGGAGACAATGGGTGCAATGGATAGGGTGGCGTTTGCAAGAGGAGGAGTAATTGGAAAAGCTGACCACAGGTAGACTGGATAAGTCACCTGATTCAAATGACTTGTACCCTAGGTTATTGGAGGATGTGATTACACCTGGAATATTGTGAATGGTTCTAGATCTTATCTGAGGTAGGATGTTCTTGCTATGGAGCGAGTGCAGCAAAGTTTACCAGACTGATTCCTGGGATGGCAGGACTGGTGTATGAGGAGAGTTTGAATCGGTTAGGATGATATTCACAGAGTCATACAGCATGGAAATAAACCCTTCGGTCTAACTATTCCAGGCCAACCATGTTCCCAAACTAAACTAGTCCCACTTGCCTGTGTTTGGCCCATATCCCTCTAAACCTATCCTATTCATGTACTTATCCAAATGTCTTTTAAATGTTGCGACTGTACCTGCATCCACCACTTCCTCCGACAGTTCATTCCACAAACTAACCACTCTCTGTGTAAAAAAAAAAGTTGCCCCTCATGTTCTCTTTAAATCTTTCCACTCTCACCTTAAAAATATGCTCTCTAGTTTTGAACTCCCCCACCCTAAGGAAAAGACCTTTGCTATGCACCTTATCTATGCCCCTCTTGATTTTATAAACCTCTACAGAGTCACCCCTCAACCTCCTATGCGCCAGTGAAAAAAGTCCCAGTCTATCTTTATAACTCAAACCCTCCAGTTCCAGGAGCATCCTGGTAAATCTCTTCAGAGCGCTCTCCAGTTTAATAATATCCTTCCTATAACAGGGCGACCTGAACACAGTACTTCTAAAGAGGCCTCACCAAGGTCCTGTACAACCTCAACATGACGTCCCAACTCCTACACTCAAAGCTTTGTGCGATGAAGGCCAGTGTGCTAAATGCCTTCTTAATCAACCTGTCTACCTGTGACGCAAATTTCAAAGCATTATGCACCTGAAATCCTAGGTCTCACAGTTCTACAACACTACCCAGGATCCTACCATTAGCTGTATTACTCCTGCTCTCGTCTGTTTTACCAAAATGCAATACCTCACATTTATCCAAATTAAATTCCACCTACCACTCCTCAGCCCATTGACCCAATTGATCAAGATCTCTTTGTAATCTTAGATAATCTTCTTCCCACGATACCACCAATTTTGGTGTCATCCACAAACTTACTAACCATGCCTCCTATATTCTCATCCAAATCATTTATATAAATGACAAATAACAGTGGATCCAGCACCAATCCTGTGGAACACTGCTGCTCACAGGCCTTCTATCTGAAAAACAACCCTCCACCATCACTCCCTGTCTCCTGCTGTTAAGCCAAATTTGTATCCAACTGGCAAGCTCATCCCTGAATCCCACACAATGCTGACTGCATTGCCTTCAAACACACTATCTAACTAATAACCCAGGCAGTGCTTGTGCAAAATGATGTTCTGAAGACCTGGTTATTCTTGATGTTGCCAATGGCACCTGACAGATGTTCAGCTCCGCTGATCAGGATCTCATGTCTCAATCCTGGAGTGTGAGTGATCATATCTCGTTAGAAATACTCAACCTGCTGTCCCTGCTGGAATAAACAGGCACAAACCCTTTAATTTTTAAACAACATCCTCTTTTTATCTATCCCATTCAGACTTGAAATACAAAAGGGAACACGGGCGTGGCTTGAGATTCCAACAATTCTCATGACTTTAGTTGGTTACACCAGCAAAATACACACTAAATCTCAGGTTTCCAGACTACTGAAGGATTGTGTAATCTGGCATCCAGCCACTCAGACACAGAAACTGTACTGACAGACCATCTGGAGAGCTGTTCCTCCTCCTCCACCCACCTTTTGATCAACTGGCATGGTATCCATCTGTCTCACACCACCATGCCTCCAGTACTTCACCTAAGGTGACCTTTCTTTGTACACAAGCCTGGGGTAGGGCGGCTAAATAGAATACTGTGGCTGTATCTACAACATGTGGACTGCAGAAGTTCAAGGCGGAGGCCCAGCACTACCTTCTCCAGGGAAATTAGGGATGGGCAACAAATGCTGTCCCAGCCAGCAACTCCCATATCCTGTGTAAGAATAGAACAAAACAAAACAAGGCAACCAATGCAGCACACAGTACGTTAGGTTTCAACAACACTCAGTAGTAGTGTTGCAAGACCTCCCTTCGTTTACATTCCACTCCCTTTGTAATAAAGGCCAGCATTCCACCGCGGTCAATACATTGATCGAGTGGTACAGAACCTTTTTACCTCAGCATTCTCAAAGATATATACGTGGGTCATCATTTCATAGAGATATGTGGCCTCCCCATCACAGAATTGCTTGAAAGATCCAAACAGTATCTCCTTTTGCTTATTGATCACTCTTTAACTGGAGAAACCGTGTGAAGTACACCGTCCTAAACTTGATTAGTTCATTCCAATGTTTCTTGTAATATCTTTTAAAGCTGGTTCATACTCTCTCCCAAATTACAATCAGAACCATGGGTCAACCCTTACAGTGTGTTTTGCTCCATAATTTTTTGGAACCAGCATGATGTTAATAACTACAATATCATACAAATACCTTTCAATGCTATTCCAAATTGCTTTTTAAATATTTCAAGAGGACTACTGCCACAGACTGTCATTTTACCATGATGTAACAGCAAGTCCGATGTCTTTAATTAAGGGATGTGGGCACAAGCAGCTGGCCCATCCCTAGTTGCCCTTGAGAAGATGGTGGTGATCTGCCTTCTTGAACCACTGCAGTCCATATGCTGTAGGTTGACCTACAGTGCCCTTAAGGAGGGAATACCAGGATTTTGACCCAGTGACAGTGAAGAAGCAGTGATATATTTGCAAGTCAGGATGACGAGTGGCTTCAAGGGGAACTTGCAGGTTACAGTGTTCCCATGTATCTGCTGCTCTTGTCCTTCTAGATGGAAGTGGTCGTGGATTTGGAAGGTGCTGTCTGAGGATCTTGGGTGAATTTCTGTTGTGCATCTTGTAAATAGTACATACTGCTGCTACTGAGCATCAGTGATGGAGCGAGTAGATGTGTGTGGATTTTGTGCCAATCAAGCGGGCTGCTTTGTCCTGGATAGTGTCAAGTGTTGTTGGAGCCTCACCGATCCAGGCAAGTGGGGACTATTCTATAACACTTCTGATTTGTGCCTTGTGTAAGGTGCAGAGCCAGTAAGTCTGGCCTTATGATGGAGAGGAGGTCATGGAGGAAGCAGCTGAAAATGTTTGGGTCTAGGACACGTCTGCATTTTAATTTAATTCAGAAGTCCAATACATTATATTCTGCAATAATTCACAATCCAATTGCTTCTGTGGTCTCTGTTTCTCTCTCTGCTGAACAACACAGACTTCACACTCGCACATCCTCACACTCGCACACCCTCACTCACCCTCACTCACACCAGTTTGCACAGCATCATTTTCAAAACGTTAGGGAAACACTCCTAACTAACTTCCCTCCTTCCCATGTTCCAAGTGACTCCAGGTCACATGAATCTTTAACCTCTTCAGATTTAACTGCAACATCCCAGTTATTGCAGGGATTGATTAATTTAAAACCTGTCCCAACATCACAGCAACATGCCCAACCTTCAAACTGCAGCCCTGCAAATCTAAACTCGTTGGTCCTCAGACTTAATTTGAACTTGTCCCATCTCTAAACCAGAAGATTCTGAGTCCAAGCTTCACACTCCAGGATCTAAGCAGGACTGTACTACTAATATACATACACAAAAAGTCCTTTTTAAAAGATATGTAACTACTCTTGTATTTCAACAGTCACCATATCATAAGTACCTCATTGGCTGCAAAGTACTTTAGAGCTTCCAGAGATCACCGAAGATGCTATATAAACGCAAGTTTTTCTTTCTTTATTCTTTCTAATGACAAACTGTGCAACCTGAGCCACATTATTTAAGCAAGTTAGCCCAAAACAAAATGTGATTGAAAGTAAAAATTGGAAGAACTGCGCATTAAATGAAAAACATCGGTCATTCAAATAAATGATTTGGATGAAAATATAGAAGGCAATGTTTAGTAAGTTTACGGATGACACCTAAATTGGTGGCATAATAAACAGTGAAGAAGATTTTCGAAGATGACAAAGAGATCTTGATCAAATGAGTCAATGGGCTGAAAAACAGCAGATGGAGTTCAATCTGGATAAATGTGAGGTATTGCATTTTGCTACAACAAACATGGTAGGAGATACAATTAATGGTAGGACCTTGGGTAGTGTTGTAGAACAGAAGGACCTAGGGGTTCAGGTACATAATTCTTTGAAGTTTGCATCACATACAGACAGGCTGGTTAAAAAGATGTTTAGCACGCTTGCTTTCATTGCTCAGTTTTTTGAATATAGGAGTTGGGGCGTCATGTTGAAGTTGTACAGGACATTGGCGAGGCCTCTTCTGGAATACTGTGCCCAGTTCTGGTCGCCCAGTTATAGGAAGAATATTATTAAGGTGGAGTGTGTTCAGAAGAGATTTGCCAGGATGGTGCCGGGTATAGAATGTTTGAGTTATAACGAAAGGCTGAATAGGCTGGGACTTTCTCCACTGGAGTGTAGGAGGTTGAGAGGTGACTTTATAGAAGTTTATAAAATAAAGTTAATGGTAGTTGTCTTTTCCTTAGGTATAGGGATATCAAGACCAGGGGTCACATTTTTATGGTGAGAGAAGAGAAATTTTAAAAAAAGACATGAGGGACAATTTTTTTTACACAGAGAGTGGTTCGCGTGTGGAATGAACTTCCTGACATTAAAAGACATTTGGATAAGTAAATGAATAGGAAAGGTTTGGAGGGATATGGGCCAGGAGCAGGCAGGTGGGACTAGTTTAGTTTGGGATTATATTCAGCATGGAGTGGTTGGACCGAAGAATCTGTTTCTGTACTGTATGACTCCACAACAGGTGAGATTGTTGATCAGATTAAATCACAGGGGCTCTGTGGTAAATAAGTTTATGAACCTGCCACTCAAAGCCTTAGCACTAGTAACAAAAATGCAATAAGCAGAATATAATTTTGAAAGAATTCTGCTTTTGCATCAGGTGATTTGACAGATTGTATCTGGCACCAATTCAGATGAAGACATGTCTTCAACTTGTAGCCTCTGACGTAATTAATGGAAACGCAGTAACCAATTTGTGCATTGCCTTTGGCCTGTTTTAATGATGAAATCATGGCAAGACAATGAGAATTTCCCACCACTAACCCAGAACACTGCCCTTCTAATGTGACTGGGTCTATCAAACACAATTGTCTTTGGAGGTTGTAAAATCATCCAAAAAAGGAATTAATACACAGAGACATGAAAGGAAGACAGTGATTCTTCTGTTGTCTATAAATGTGAAGACAGAAAAATCATCTCCGGGATGCTTCCGCTGTGATTCGTAGTGCTCTAGAATGTTCTGAACAAGACGTGTCTGAATTATTGACTAAAGCTCTCTGTGCAGTTCATGAAGCGTTTCAGAGGAAAGTAAAGATATGACTATCCGATGTTAAAGGGAAAGGGATTATGGAGAATAGCTCGAGAAACTAAAGCTCTTAAGATACAGGTATTTCTGCTAAAACGCGTGTTTCATCTACACAAATTGGCTGTAACGCAACTGATGAATAGTGGATGCTGTTTGGAATAACGCAAGCTTTCTGCTGTACAACTATTTTCTATAGCACGAGGTCACACATGAATGCAACTATCGCATTATAGGAGAAATACCTGTACTTTAAAAGTAATTTTTATGTAGGTACTTAAGACAATTAATGAGATAGAGAATGTAACCCTGAAACAATAATTTTAGATAAACAAAGGAGAGAGGACAAGAAGCTGTAAGTTCAAAGAAATTAAAGGGACATGTAGGGCAGACAGCCTTTCTTTCAACACACAGTAATTAATGTTTGGAATACATTATAGGAAGGACGATTGAGATGCTGCAGTGAAATGATGGTAGAGATTGTGTGTTCTGGGGGGTGAAGGACAATCCTCTGAAATCCTCTCAAGTGCTTTTTTTTTATGATTCATCCATGGAATGTGGACGTCACTGGCTAGGCCAGCGTTTATTGCCAACCCTAACTACCCAGAAGGCTGTTGAGAATCAAGCACATTGTACCCAGTATAAGTACAAAGGAGAAAAGGCTTCCCCACGTGCTGATTCATTCTCTGTGGGACCACAGTGTCTTAATGTCAAGGTTTACAAATTGAATTCCTGAGCGCCAATGTCACCAGCAGAAGCTAAACTACACTTCTCTCTCTACCCACCTTCTTGCCTTTGGTGTGTCTTCATGGGATGCAGATTGTAACTGTCCCTTCTTTGTTGGGAGTGTACAACTGACCAAGTGTTTCCTTGACCTCCCCTCGTCTGTTCTATTTGTCTGCTGTCTAACGTGTCCTTCTTCTCTGTAACTGGTTAGCACCGTGTCTTGATTGCCACATCGGCAAGCTGTGGGGATTTGTTCTCTGTCTCGTGCCTTACCGTCTGCTGTGCTCCTAGTATCTTGTCCATGGTATACACTTTCCATGGACAGAATCTCCTGTGGCTCTTGCTTCTGGAAGATCAGAAATTACATCAATATAGTTTGAGTTTTATTTCTCATCTCAAGTTATTGGCACACTGATTATGCATAGTTTCAGGGAATGGTCATCCTCTGGCACAGGAACAGAGGAGAAAGAGACAGGCTGAAATTTAACTCTTTTTGCACTACGTGTAGGGTTGGGCATCTTTTAACAGTGACTGACACTCTCCCCCTGCCCTAGCCATCCACCATTGAGTCACACAGCACAAAAACAGACTTTTCAGTTCAACTCATCCATACTGACCAGATATCCTAAATTAATCTAATCCCATTTGTCATCATTTGGCCCATATCTCTCTAAGCCCTTCCTATTCATATACCCATCCAGATGCCTTTCAAATGTTGAAATTGTACCAGCCTCCACCACTTCCTCTGGCAGCTCGTTTCTTACACGCACCACTCTCTGCATGAAAAAGTTGCCCCTTAGGTCCTTTTTAAATCTTTCCCCTCTCACTGTCAACCTATGCTCTCTAGTTTTGGACTCTCCTAACCTACGAAATACCTATTCACCCTCTCTGTGCCCCTCATGACTTTATAAAATTCAAAAAGGTCACCTCTTAGCCTTTGATGCTCCAGGGAAAATAGCCCTACTCTGTTCAGCCTCTCCCTCCACTCAAACCCTCCACAGTCCCTGCAACATCCTTGTAAATCTTTTCTGCAGCCTCTCAATTTTAACAACATTTGTCCTATAGTAGAGAGACCAGAATTGAATGCAGTATTGGGAGCTGGAGAGATCGATGGAAGTTGAAGATGGGCATTCAGGCCAGTGGTGAGTTGAGGCCTTTCATTGTCATTGATTGACCAGTTGAGACCCTTAATTGGTTGTGATACAAGAAACCCCACCTCCACATAGACCCTCCCATCCAGAAACAAACCCAGGGAGAGCTGGAGCAACTCAACAGGTCTGACAGCATCTGAGGAGAGAGCAGCAGAGTTAACATTTGGAACCCTGTGTGACTCTTCTTCCCAGAACCTAACTGCTGAGGTAATAGCTATCTCCTTATGGCCAGCCCATAGCATTATTTGCCCTTCCTGCCACGTCTATGGACAATGAAGGGACAAGGGAAGGAGAGAGATAGTAAGCAAAAAAGAGAAAGTATCTTTTGAAAATTTTGTTGATGGATATGGCTATCACTAACTAGGCCAGCATTTACTGCCTATCCCCAAGATCCAACCACATTGCTGTGGGTCTGGAGTCACATGCAGATCAGCTAAGGATAGCAGATTTGCTTTCCTAAAGGGCACTGGTGAAGCAGATGGGTGTTTTTCAACAACGGATAGTGGTCACCATTAGGCTAACATTCAATTCCAAATTTTGTACTGAATTCAAATTTCACCATTTGATGGGATTCATACCCATGACCCCATTACATTAGCCTAAGCCTCTGGATTACCAGTACAGTGATTGTAAAGATTGGTCCTTGTTTAAATGTGGGGAAGGTGATGGCCTAGAGGTTTTATCGCTTGACTGTTAATCCAGAGACCCAGATAATATTCTGGGGACCCAGGTTCGAATCCCACTATGGTAGATGATGGAATTTGAATTCAATCAATATCTGGAATTAAGAATCCAATGATGACCGTGAATCCATTGCCAATTGTCAGGAAAAAACCCATCTGGTTTGCTAATGTCCTTTAGGGAAGGAAACTGCCATCCTTATCTGGTCTGGCCTACATGTGACTCCAGGCCCACAACGGTGTGGTTGACTCTGAACTGTCCTCTGGGCAATTAGGGGTGGGCAAGAAATGCTGCCTGGTCAGCGACACCCTCATCCCATGAATGAATAAAGAATAAAAATGTACAGTTATTAGCCGTTGAAAGCTATATGAGAGGGGAGGGGTGCAGTATGTTTTTCCACCCAAAAAATGTTTGCTGGACTGCCCTGTGTCTCCCCCTCTTCTCCAAGTCCCAGAGCCACCCTTCAATCTCCCCTGAAGTCTATATAGGTAGTTAGTCTGATCTCTAACACGCTGGTCCCACATTTCAGGATAGACTAGGGTTGTTTTCTCTGGAATAGAGGGCAGAGCTAATCAAGGTGATGGTGTGAATAGGAATTCCTACTGATCTTAGTGGAGAGGCCAATAATTAGGGGACATGGATTTAAAATAATTAGCAGATGATTAGAGGAGGATAGAGGGTAGAGAAGACATATTCAGACTCTGCCTGAAAAGATGGTGGAGGCAGAAAAGCCCCATTGTTTTTAACATAATTCTTGGAAACGTACTCCAGTTGTCATCACTGCCCTTGGGCTATGGCTGGATGCAAGCAAAACACTGCAGATGCCGGAAATCAGAAATAAAAGCAGAAAACATTCACCAGTGGAAAGAAGAGCTACACTTGACTTGAAACACTAACTCTGCTTCTGTCTCCACAGAGTCCACCACAGATGCTGAGCTTTTCCAGCTCTTTCTGTTTTTGCAAGCCAGAAAGTGAGTCTAGTTTGGACAGTTCTATTGTGGTTGAGATACATACAAATGGGAGAAATCATCACTGGTGCTGCACAATCTCTGTTTTCTATTAACGAGTGACATTTAGCAAGGAGTACGAGTACACTGTTCAAGTGCAGATGGTAATAGAGTGCGCACACCCTGTAGAGACACACTCCTTTCCAGCAACTTTATTGGATGTATATCGGGAACCATGGGCCCGAAGCAATGTGCTCTTCACCAATCCAGGGACTGCAATCAGACATAAAATGACATGACCAACTTTCCTAAGACCAGCCAAGGGACTGCATTACGCAACTTTTGTGAACAAACCATCTCATATATACATGTTGAATGATAGCGTTAGGCCCAGGAATAAGGCAGGGGGCTCTTGTGGTGCTGTGGTAGTGTCCCTACCTCTGAGGCAAAAGATTCAGTTTCAAGTCCCACCCTTGGCACAGAGGTATGTCATTAAGTGTTGGAATAGGTTGATTTTAAAAGTGATTATGAATATGGCAGCCTTCTGAATAAGTACAGATAACCTTCTTTCAATCACTGCACATTCATTAGGTTCTAGGACAATCACAGTAAAGGAGCCATTCAGCTCAGAGTGTTTGTTCTGCTATTCAATAAGATTATGACCAATCACAGAAGTGTCACAACAAAGGAAAAGGCCATTCAACCCATCGTACCAGCACTGGCTCTTCAAACTGAGTCATTACCTAGTGCCAATCTCCTGCATTTTCCCTACATTTTTCAATGCTATTTCTACCCAAACAATCATCTAATGCCTTCTCCATAATCTCCATTCACCCACCTTGGTTCCATGTCCCTTAACACCTTCAACAATCAGAATCTATCATGCAGTTTGGAAACTCTCACTTACGTCACCTGCAAATTTTGAAACCGTGCCCTGTGGACCCATCCTCCTGTCCAAAGATCGAACAATCCCCGCTGCTTTGTTGCCTGTCACTCAGGACAACTTCATATCCACGCTGCTACAGCCCCTTTTAGACCATAAACTATAACACTGCTGGCAAGCCTGCTATGTAGTACTTTTTCCAAGTGTCTTTTGAAAGTCCATGGACATTACATCAACCCCCTCACTCTCATTGATTCCCTCTGTTAACACAGTTTAACAATGTACAATAGTCTATTTCCTCTGGTGGGGAGTCCGAACTTGGGAGGTGCAGGGGTTACTTCACCTTCAAATCAAAGATACACCATTCAGGGGGTGGTGTTAGGAAACGTCTTCAAACATGACATCATGGAAGACCGGAACATGCTATCCACAAAAAGCTGTTCAATTTGATGGTTACTTTTTTGAAAAGCAAAATAGATAATATAAAAGATATCAAGGATTATGGATGAAGGTGGGTAAACAGTGTTACAACAGAGACTGACCATGAATGGAAAAACGGACCTCTATCACCTACTTCGTCCTTTTGTTCCAATGATGGCACCAGCAAGACAAAATAGTAGTATTTGCAACAGACCTCATACAAATAATTTTGAGAGCCCACTTGGTAATTGTCAAAAATACATTGTTATTAGAAAGGTTTTATTTCTTGATGAAGAACCATGCAGAGTTTTCAATGTTTATGGAAACCATTTGGTTTGTTCCCTGCCCTCGTGCCAGATTTCTGAAATGTTCTCTGTCCAGTTTATCTGGTTAAAACATTGTGCGGATGTTGGGAGAGCAATTTTTTTATCCTTCCCTCCCAGCTGTTGGCCAACATGCACTGATTAAGTTAAAAGAAAAAGCACTACCTCACTTTGTCTGAGACGGTCGCGTAGTTGTTCAATCTGATTCCAAGCGTGCCCCAAACCTTCCGTCAGCCTGGAATTTAACAGCAATGCTGAAAAGGTAAAGAGAAGAAAAGAAAGGTCTTAGCGTAAATTTGTAGCTGGGGTTGTGGACGGCGGTTGTTCGTTTGCTCGCTGAGCTGGTTGTTCTATGCTGTACAGACGTTTCATTACCATTCTAAATAATATGATCAATGAAATCTCTAATTGAAGCATTGGTGTTCTGCTCCGTTCCAAATTTATATGTTAGACATACTGACAGTAAACAGGACTAACGTGATATTCAGAATCCCATGCAGCGAGTGCAATAAACATGAATACACTGGACAAACGGGGAGGAAACTAACAACCAGGATAGACAAACACCAGCTGGCAGTAAAGACATGACCAATATTCACTTGTCTCAATACACACAGACAATGAGGGCCATCAGCTCGACTGGGACAAAGTGACTATACTAGGACAAGCGAACAACAAACATGCATGGGAATTTCTGGAGGCCTAGTTCTCAACAAGGGACTCCATTAACAAACACGTAGAAAGAGACCCCGTATACAGTCCACTGCTGAAAAAAAGCAGAACCGGAAGTGACAAGACCCACCACACCAAAGGATCATATAAAGTCGGAACGAAGCAGAACACCAGCGCTTCAATTAAAGGTTACATGATAATGTTGCCTAGAACGGTAATGTAACATCTGCACATCACAGAATAACCGGCTCAGCGAGCAAATGAACAACCGCAGCAGGAAGAGAAAGTTGTGAGAGAATTTGTTCGATGAGTTCAAAAACCAGGAGAGGCCTGGTCAGAGTAGATAGGAAGGAAGTGTTGGCAGAAAGGCCAAGAACCAGAGGACACAGTGGGTCACAGTGTTCGGCAAAAAAACCAGAGGCGACGCGAGGCAAAACATTTTTTTTAAACAAAACAGAGCAAATAATTAGGAAATGCCCTGCCTAAGTGTGTCTGATGGAGACAAGTTCAACTGTGACTTTCAGAAACAAATTAGACAATCATTTGAAGAGAAAGAAAGTCTTTACAGCTATTGGGAAAAGATGGGGGAGGGGAACTAGTTGAGTTGGGAGCAAATTCTGGCAGTCTTGGTAACCCATAAGGTCAAGCCTCTTTTTGGAAATCTAGAGGCTAGAAAAGGCTGGTCTGAGTAACAGTGACCATGAAATTATCGTCAATTATTGTAAAATCTCACCTGGCTCACTAATGTCCTTTCAGAAAAGAAGACTGCTGTCCTTGCCTTTTCTTGACCTACATGTGACTCCAGACCCACAGCAATGTGACCGACTCTTAACTGCCCTCTGAAATGATCTAGTTAGCCACTCAGTTCAAAGGCAATTAGGGACGGGCAACAAATGGTCTTGCAACTGGCGCCCACATCCATGAAAGAATTCATCAAAGTTGGTCTTACAAAGAGTCAGCATGTAGACAACAGGCTGAGTGGCCTCTGTTTTTTAACCATCATGTAATTCTACATAAAATCAGCCCACAGGCTGCTCATTTATTCACACAGTACAAAAACAAAATCATTCACCATAATAAATACTTAAATAAAAGAATATATGTGTTTATCCATTTACTGTGCTGCCCTCATACATACTTTCCATGAGCTCCTCTTCGCACCTCTTCTGCATAAGGAGTTTGGGGCATTCCACTTGGACCTCCCGTGTCACCGTGAACTCATGTCCATGGACTGGCTTCTGTACTGACTCCACACTCTGAGGTGCGGAGACACATTGGACCAGTGCCTCCTGGTCCGGTTGATGGGGAGATTCTCTGGGAGATACTTGGATCACAATCTGCTGTCGCTCCTCACACCTTATCGGTTCTGTTGTCTGTATTCAGAGACAGAGAGCAAACAAAACACGATTACAACTTAAACAATGCAACCTTTTACTGTGAACTGACATTCATAAATTTCATCATTGCTTCTCAAACTTAGATTCCGCCATCTGCTCACCCATACCCAATCTCTATCGAGTAAAGCAGTCCTTCCCTGTAGCTGACAATATCAAGGCCAACTGGATTCACAAGGGTTCCCTGACTTACAAACATTTGTACTTACAAACATGATCCTATACAGGGTGTAATTTTAAAGACCCAACATACAAGTGTTTTCTGTACTTATGAACGGCTATTTTACATTGCCCTGCATTGTGTACTGACTTGTGTACAAATTGACTTGCAAACGGACTCAAGGACAGGGACCATTCATAACCCAGGAATTGCCTGCATTCAGCATCTGTGAAACCTACCGAGGTACCTCAGAGGAGCATCATAAAACAAAATTAGACATCAAAAGATATTTGGGCATGGGACAAAATGTTTAGTCCAAAACGCAGGGAGCAGATTAAAGGAGGAATATAGACAGATAGCAAAGCTTAGACAGACAGCAAAGCTTAGTGAGTGTATTCCAAAGTTTGAGGCTACTGAAGGCACTGTCATATTAGGCTCTGAGTACTAACCGCTGGTAGTTGTGGTCAGAGTAAATAAAAGTAAAGTTGCCACAGTCTTACCAAATCATAGGGCTACACTCTCATTACAGAGAGACAATTGGTGATGGTTTAACCTGAGGGTCACCATACCTCAGGCAAGGGGAGGAAGAGATTGAGAATCCAACATGGTAGCCTCAGCTAGTGTGGGAATTGAACCTATGCTGTTGGTATCACACTGTATTACAAACCAGCCATCCAGCCAACCTTCAGAGTTGTTTGAACTAGACCAGGTAGCTTCACCTTTGTAGGCAATCGTTTCACACAGCGAGTGGTTTGTAGGTGGAATGAACTACCAGAGGAAGTGGTAGATGCAGATATAGTTATAACATTTGAAAGAAATTTGGACAGGTACATGAATAGGAAAAGTTTAGCAGGATATGGGCCAAATGCAGGCAAATGGGACTACTTAGTTTGAGCAACTTGGTTGACATGGACAAGTTGGACCGAAAGATCTGTTTCCGTGCTGTCTGACTTAATGGCTGAAATTTCTGTTTCATTAACCACAGTATGTGATCAGATAAGATCGTGACACTCATTCCTGTATCATACTTAAAATTAACAAGATGTCCAATGACATAAATAAACTTTATAAAAGTCAGACATAGTAGGAACTGTAGATGCTGGAGAATCTGAGATAACAAGGTGTAGAGCTGGATGAACACAGCAGGCCAAGCAGCATCAGAGGAGCAGGAAAGCTGACGTTTCGGGCCTAGACCCTTCATCAGAAAATAGGTGTTGTTGCAATCCTGAGGTACATTAGGTTTTCTCTCAAGATTTGTCTGAGAGTCTTTCTAGATTCTGCTTCCTGGATGATTTGAATAGCTTTTCGCAAAGTTAAATATTTTTTAAACTGTAAGAAATCTGACAAAGACTTTTCAATAATTCCAACAACTATTCTATCTCCGATATGTCTCTGAAATCTAATCTCAGAATTCCACTGTCACAGTTCTCCCTTAACCTACAGAATTTGTCAGTGAAATTACCGATTTCCGTGGAAGCATAACTCCTCAATTAAATCTCGTTCATTCAAGAATGTTATTTGTTTTCAGATTGCAGTCATGGTCAAAGACATTAAAACTTCATCAATGTATTTGTAACTCCTTTGATATTTTGGTAGTTTATAACATCATATACAATAGGTCCTACTGAATACAATACTGTATTGACTTATTGAGCTTCAGAGTTAATGTTTAATTTTGAAGCAATTTTTTATCTCAAAAATTGTTCTCTCCAAGGTATCCAATCCTGTATTCTGTCTAGCACCTCCCTCATTGCATCTTTCTAGAAGTATTATTGATTCTTCAATGTCCTTTAAATGTGTTTTATTTATTCTTGTTCCTTTAAATATGTTGTAAATCTGAAGCAGTCTTCAATTCTTGCATAAAATCAATGCTGATTAAATTATTTCAGAGATAGTAGGAACTGCAGATGCTGGCGAATC